AAGAGTATGCAATGTAATGCAACGCGCAGTGATGCAAATCAATGCAAAACGATGCAACGCAATGCAAAGCAATGCCAAGCAAAGCCAACCAATGGCACCCAATTCAAAGCAATGTAAAGCAACGCAAGTGCAAGGCAATGCAACACAAAACAATACAGAGCAATACAGAGCAATGCGGCAATGCAGCTTAATGTACTACAGCACAAAGCAATGGAAAGCAATGCAGAGCAATGCAAAGCAGTGCGAAGCAGTGTGAAGCAAGGCGAAGCAATGCAAGGCAATGCAAGGCAAGTCAATGCAAAGCAATACAAACGGCGAGCCTCGCACAGTCCACATCGTGGCCAAGGGCGGCGGCGACGGGCGGCGACGAGCGGGCACAAGAGCTTGCTGGACCGACAGGGGGGCCCGTGCTCTGGAAGAGGACCAAGAAGTTTTAAGTGCAAGCGCAGTTTGGGGAGAACCGTACCGCTTCGATATCAGCTCATGGGAGCCTCGTGCGGCGACGTTGACATTAGCTTTTCCTGCATTGAGACCGCACTTGGACCGCATTTGGATTTTCCTCCTGGTCCTCGCCCTTCCTGTTCCGCCTTTCCCTCCTCGTTCTTCTCGTCTCCCTTGTGAAGTGGCGAATCTGGTTCAAATCTGGTCCAACTCCGGTCCCAAAGGTGGTCCAAATCCGGTCCCGTTCAGGCCCAAATCGGACAGCGCCGGGTGCCATGCAGGCTCCCATGAAACAGACACCAAATATCCGTAACGGCTTCGCCCCCTGCCGCCGGCCCCCTCTCGGAGAATAGGGGGTATGCAAGAGCTTTGTTGTGAGGCCTGGGCGCCGTCGTGAAGCAGTGTCGGAACTCCGATCCCATTAGAAACCAAAGGAAAATCGCGGATGTTGGCCTTTTGGGCCCCTCTTGGGGGTGCTCGTGGAGCGCTCTTGGGGCGGAGCGGGAGGGGGAAGGGGAGGGGAGAAGAGTGGGGGAAGTAGGCGGGAGAGGTGGGAGGAGAGGGGGGCGGGGGAACGCGGGACGCGGGCGCGAACGAAACAAAGCCCCAAACCTTTGATCAAGCGCAGAGCGGCGGACTCTCACCCAATTCGCCCCGCGAGGTCCCCAATTCGACATCATGTGACCCCAGTCTGATCCCTCCAGTCCTCCCCCCCAGATCACCGGCCCTTGGGCACAGGGGGCGTGCAGCCCCCCACAATCTGAGCTCTCCGGGCCTCCAGCTCTCCAGTTTCCGCCCCTGGGCACAGGGCGGCTGGGCAGCATGGCTGGACCTAAACGCTGTCTTGCTGGACCTCGGCGGTGTCTTGCTTTTCGTGCCGGCAGGGAGGCACAGGAGAGCAGGTGGAGCAAAGCGCACATCAAAACGAAGACAGCACGAGGCACAACGTTTATCACCACCCACCAAACCACCCCAACCCAACCCGAAGGTCTCAATTTGCCCTCCATTTCCAGTGAGGGGGGGTCGGGGCACATTGAGAAAACGCGTATGGAACCCGTACCCCCCCAACCCAAAATTCGGGTCTTCGGGTTGGGTTGGGGTGGTCTGGTAGGTAGTCAGTTTAGGTCCAGCCCTGCTTGGCAGCCCTCTCTTGTTGCAGGACGCCTCGGGGGACGGGCCACCACCGCTCTCTCTCTCTCTCTCTCGGCAGACCCCCCCCAGCATCCGCTGGGCTCCTGGGCACGGGGCTGCTCGGCGGGTCCTCTCTTCCAGATGCCTCGGGGGACGGACCACCGTTTTTTTTCTTTGTTTCTTAGTGTTTTTTGTTTTTTGTTACTGTTTTCTGTTTTTTATTTTGTCATATCTTCCAAAATGCCTCTGGGAAGGGACCACCGCTGCTCTGTTTCAATAGAATACCCCTCGCCCGTGGACTCGCAGGGGGCCGCCGACCAGGGGCAAGGAACTACCCCATCCCCGCCGTCGTCGTCGTCGCCGTCGTCGCCGTCGTCGCCGCCGCCGCCATCGCCCTTGCCCCCAGCCCCCAGCCCCCCGTCCACGTGTGTTTAGAGCATCTGAGGTGATACAGTAAACGGTTCCCCCCCGGGCGTCCACGTGTATTTATTTGATTTCTAGTGGTACAGTATACGGGTCCCCCCCCGGCGTTACGTGTGCTTATTTGGAAGCACTTGAGGTGTTGCAGTAGATGGGTCCCCCCCCGGGGCGTCCACGTGTGCTTACGGGCTTCGCCTCCTGCCGCTGGCCCCTCTCTGGGATAATGGGGTTTGCAAGAGCTATATTGTGAGGCCTGGGCGCCGTCGTGAAGCAGCGTCGGAACTCCGAACGGGGGCCACTGGAGATATGAGCGTACCAAATCATCGAAACAGTTCGGAGGACATCGCAGATGTTGGCCTCTTGCGCCCCTCTTGGGGTGCTCGTGGAGCGCTCTTGGGGGCCTCTTGGGAGCCTCTTGGGCCGTCGTGGGACCATCTCGGGCGCCTTGGAGCACCTCTTGTAACGTTTTGGAGGCCTTTTGTGAGAGGTTGTTACCTCGAAAGCGCGAATACTGCGTACTTCACGCGGGTTTATGACTGCGGGGACGCGAGGAACGCGCACTTTATTAGGGATCGTTGTTTCGGGAACGCAGATCTGGTGCAATTTGCGCGGAATTATGGTCTCGGGAGCGCGAGCTCAGCGTAATCTACAAGGGTTTATTGCCTCGGGGACGCGCATACATAACAAGGGATTGCGGCCTCGGGGGCGCGAGTACGGGGTAATTTACGAGGAACCATGGCTTCGGGTGCGCAAGTCTCAAGTATTTCTGCGTGCCCGGGGGGCCTCCCGAAATTCTGAGACCCCCCCCCGGTGGTGGTGGCCTGGGCCCTGTTCGGCTCCCCCCCCCTCGCGCGGACTTCAACAATTCAGAGCATGAAGCAGAAAGCAAGCAGGACTATGACGGTGGAGATTGGACAGTGGAGCTGGCGTAGGGGGCAGCAGGCCTGACCCGCGGAGCCTGGTGGCCCCACGGCGGGGGCCGGCGGCCTTTATTTTCCAGGAGGATGGCAGGCAGGCGGCGGCCCGAGGCCCTGGAGGCTTCCGATGGGGGCTCCCTCGAAGCCCAGGCGGCCTCCAAGTTGGCTCCCGCCTTCAAGGAGTCCCCGCCGCCTCCCAGGGCCGTCCTCCTCGCCTCCTGCCGCCCCCCCCCCTCGGGAGCGGCCAAGAGGGGGGTGTCCAAGAGGGGGGGGGGTGCAAATCATGACCGGCGGCACGTGCTCGGCCCAGCGGGGGGGCCAGGGACGTCATGAAATAAGAAGAGGCGCCGTGAGATCTGGGGAAATACCATGGCCCCCGCCATGATATCCACCCCCCCCTAGTCATCCCCCCCCTCTTTGCCGCCCCCGACAGCACGGGGACTCAAGAGCCCCCGACTACAGGGCTCTGGCAATCCGGGTCTGCGACGAGGTGCTTCTGTCAGCCAGCTTTAGGTCAGGCATGTCCTCCTACGGACGGCGTTCGAAGATTCGAATATTCCTCCTGTAGAGGAACATGCTCGACTTAAAGCCAGCTGTCATCACCCCCCTCTTTTCCGCCCCCGACCCCCCACGTGGCGCCCTCCTCGCCCCTTGCTCGTCGACCCCCGGGCACCCGCCGTGCGGCGCGGTCGACCCACCGGGATATCTCCCGCTTCGGAGGGGGCCCCGCCGAGCGCGCGCCCGCTCCGTGCCGCTCGCGCGGTCTTTCTCCGCCCCGTCGCGGCGCGCGAGGCCGCGATCGCCACCAGGTATTTTTTTGGTGTGGTGTGTGTGTGTGTGTGTGTGTGTTTCAGGGGCTCTTAACCGGAAGAGGCCCGCTCTCGACCCGCCGACCAAAAAGTTTTTTTTTTTTTTGGTTTTGTTCTTTCTGTACTCTTTTCACTCAAGGGCTTAAAAAACGCCTCTACCCTGGTTTATGAGGCGCTGTGCGCTGAAACTCCTGTGGGCTTACAGGGTAAACCCTGCGTGATGTGCGGCGTCCTGGCGTCCTCTAGGTTTTGTGGGTTCCCAGGAGGCTTACAGACCACGCACTTGTAACCCATGGTAGGGCCGTTTTTTCATCCCTCAATTCACGCCCGCGAAGTGCTTCACGTTCTGAGCGGCTCTTGTCCTTCCCTCGCCTCCCCTCTCCCCGCGTCCCTTGTGCCCAACTTCCTCCGGGCGACTCCCGCTCGTGGCCCGACCAGCGCCTGCACCTGCTCCGGCTCTCTTGCGCCCGCTGGCTAACAAAAAGTGTGTGTTCCTTTCGGCCCGCGGCCCGGCAGTCTCAAGCCTTTTCCGGGGAATAGGTTGGGGCGGCCAGGAGGGTGTGAGGATTACGGTCGGGGCGGATTGGTAGGTCGACCCTGCCACATCAAGGGTGCTCTTGCGTCCTGTGTTTGCCGACCCATGCCTTCTGCATTCCTGTGGCACTGCGGCCCGCGGAAGGGTCTTGTGTCCTATCGCGTGTCCTCGTCAATCAAGCCTCG